ATCTCTCCATAGTGCTTATTATGGAATTAAAAGAGATGATACTCCTAGGAAAGTTGTAAATGGGAGTCACCATTATTACTGCTTTTTCTATTAGGCTGAATGTTTGGAAGTTATGGGAAATAGGGAGGAGACAGCAGAGCTGAAATTGGGGAAATAAAATTACCCTAAAAATTCCAGGTTTTTCAAATCTCAAGAGCTCCATTTACTGCATAAGTGCATAATATTTTCTTATAGAACTCAGTCTGTGCCCTTTCAGTTATTAGACATCTAGTAATGTCACACATTAGTATCATACCTTTCCTTCCCCATTGTCCATTTGGTGGAATGGTAGTTTTGAAAACTAACAGAAAGCATAGTTCATTCTTGTTAATTAGATAGGAAGAATAACATTTGCTGTCATGTTTCAGTCATTCTTACAAAATTATTTTGGCTTTTCACTACAGATATGCCTAGCAACTTGAATGATTAAATCTGGAGTTTTGAGAGAATGTTTTGACTGCAGAGAGAAACAACATCTTGTTTTCTGCTGGTGTTTTTTTCCTTCCTCCTCCTCCTCAATTAGTTTACTGTGAGCAGTGAAAACCCTACATAGCTCTTCGTAATTGACCAGATTTCCTATTTTTTGCCTAATTCAGGGAAACGTGGAGAAAATCTGGAGGGGAATTGACATTAATAACTGCACCATCAGTAAAGACCTAGAATGCTTCTTCACATTCATTCATTGGAGGGCCGAGAATTTGTGGCAGAATTTCTTCATCTGGGGTCCATGGATTGGTTTTGAGGGTCTGAAATTGTATTCTCATTTTTTAAATATATAATCATGTTTATGTGCATTTTTCTGGGGAAAAAGAAATCCATAGTTCTCACCAGATTCGCAGAACAGTCCTTGATCCCCGAGAAGGTTGAGAACTCAAGATACTAATTCTTGACAGCTTTGTGAAAAGATCCTTCAAACAGAAGACTTTTACATCTGGCAAGGTGGGAGCCTCTACCCTAAACAAAAATGGCGGGAGCTGCTTCACGCATAGGCCGACACGCAGGAAAGGTAGCTTGCCCCGGCCACTTTCTCTCTGCCTTCCTTCTCCTGACCCCGGAAGGACTCCTTTTCCCGCTACCAAGCTGCTGCTGCTCAGCGTCCAGCAGCAGCAGGCAGGGAAGCGGGCGCCGGCCACCTCCCTCTGGGTTGGAGCACCAGGTACTTGGGTGGAGGAAGGCGGGCCATAGGGGTGGGTGGGGTCGTGACACCCGATCGCTCGCCATAGCCCTAGGGACTAGGATTGTTCTGTCGATGACTCGAAAGCGGAGGGTTCCCTCACGCAGAAGGGAGGCACGCAAAGGAAGCCCTAATTGGGTTGTGCTGGTGGCCCCCAAGTCTCGACCGCACCGCGCCAGAGTGAGGGTCCGGGCGGCCGATCCGAAACGGAACTCCCTTTCAGGTCCTCTTGCAAAAAAAAAAAAAAAGGAAAGCTGACATAGGAGAGCAGGATGGGTGCTAGAGGTGGGCAGCTGGTGAGGTCAGGGATTCTGCCTGGATGAGAGTGATTTTAAGCCCGGAGTGGTTTCTTGATGTTGTAAAATGTAATTTTTAGGGCATTTAGGAAGCAAACTATAACACTTTTTTATAACTTTCCAGTGGTTGAAATGGATAGAAAAGAATAATATTACACACTACAATGTTTTTGATGTTTTAGATGCCATCTATAAATATGAGTAATCGTGAAATTAGTTTCATAATTATTTTAATTAATACTTCTGAAAGCGACTGAAATGATTAGTTTCTAAATATTATGTAATTAAACCTTATGTTGTGTTAAGTTTGGAATCACTTCCTCAGTAATTTCAAATGAAAGGGAATGAGGTAGTTATAATGCAAAAAGAGATTTCTCAAAATTCATTTAAGAATATCACCACAGCAGTTTGCTTGCTTGCTTGCTTAATTTTCCTTCTTCTCTGCTTAAAAAAAATGGAACCCCTTATTTTGGAAAAAATTACTTGGGGGGAATGGCTCTCAGTGTCATTATTTTTTTAATGCAGTAGCATAGATGGCTTACTGATCCAAAATCTGATGTAAAACTATTTCTTAAAAAAAAAAAGTTGCCTATTCCAAGGGGAGGGGAGAAGAATAATTGTTTTGTTTTTTCTTTTAGTGTAGCATTTTAAAAAACTAATATATGTAGATGGTTCTAAAAATCAAATGGTACAGAAGGGCTAATGATGAAAAGCAGCTGTTCCCTGGCCACCCTTCACTCCTAGTCTCACTTCCTAGAGGACCCAGAGTAATTCTTACTCATTTAATTGTTTTCAGTTTCCTTTAATTTCTAAATAGTATGTTTATATCATGGCTTATTGGTTAAATAAACTTCAAATAGAACTAAACATGGGCTGAAGTTTACACTTTGCAGGTATCACTAGTAAGAATCATTATTAAAGGAGTAAGATGAGTGTCAGTAGTCTTAACACACCCTTGAGAGGTATTACTTTAAAAAAATGACTCAGATAACTTGGAAAATACCCAGGGTTAATCATAATGGGTCTTGTTGAGGGCCTTCCTCTTTTTCATTGACCCTCATTTTATCAAGCATGAAGTCCTTCTCCAGAGACTGGTTCCTCCTGATAACAAGTTCAAAGTACGTAAGACGAGTCTCTCCATCCTGGCTTTGAAGGAGCGCTCTGGCTGTACTTTTCTAAGACAGATTTGTTTGTTCTTCTGGCAGTCCATGGTACATTCAGCTATTCTTTGTGAACACCATAATTCTTTGGTCTTCCTTATTCATTGTGCAGCTTTTGCATGAATATCAGGTGATTGAAAATGCCATGGCTTGGGTCAGGTGTACCTTAGACCCTCAGTGAGATAGATTGACACAATGTCTGCAACAGTGGGATCAGATATGGCAATAGTTGTGAGGTTGGCGCAGGACTGGGCAGTAGTTTGTTTGTTGTGTGTACGGTCATTTGCTATGAGTGAGAAACAATTTGATGACGTCTAACAACAACCACCACCATAAAGGATGGTCCTGTGGTGGCACAAATGGTTTAGATTGACAGCTAATCTAGGAAGGAGCCCCAGTGTTGCTAACTGAAAGGTCGGTGCTTTTAACCCTCCCAGCGGCTCTAGAGGAGAAAGACCCGATGATCTGCTCTGGTAATTGTTGTGTGGTGTTGAGTTGATATGGACTCATAGTGACCCTGTATGACAGAGTGCAACTGCCACAGATGATTTCCTAGGCTGTAACTTTACAGCAACAGATAGCTGGATCCTTTCTCCCATGGAGTTGCCAGTGAGTTTGAACTGCTGACCTTTTGATTAGCAGCTGAGCACTTAATCATTGCACCTTCAGGGCTCCTTCCTGTAATGATTACAGACTAGAAAACTGCATGGGGCAGTTCTGTTCTGTAACATGGGGTTGGTCTAAGTTGGAACTGACTCAAAGGCATCCAACAACACTAACTTAAAGGTTGCCAACTCACACCCACCCAGCAGTACCACAGGAGAAAGGCCAGGCAGTTGCTTCCTTAAAGTTACAGCCATGAAAACTATGTGGAGCATTTCTACTCTGTAACACATGGGGCTGCTATGAGTCGGAATGCACATTCTATAGCAACATTTTTTTTTCTTCAATCATCAGTGTGATGGATTTGAAAGGAAACGTCTACCTATTCAGTGATTTTGATACTTCTCTGGAAAAAACCAAACCAAAACCAAACCCACTAACGTTGAGTCAATTCCAACTCATAGTGACCCCTCCTTGGGTTTCCTAGGCAGTATCTCTATGGAAGTAGATGGCCAGTCTTCCTTCTGAGGAGTGGCTGGTGGGTTTGAACCTACAGCTTTCTGGTTAGCAGTCAGATGCCTTAAGCACTAAGCCACTATCGGAATGGAATCTAGAAAAACAGAGCCCAACCTATAAGAATTTGGTACTGTTTATATAGCACTATTCAAGGGGGAAAAAAAAAATAATGTTGAATTTGGTTGAATTCTATTGTGCACCGGAGAGAGTTCTAGTTTTTTTCTTAACCTAGATGAAATCTTTCTCAGGACACTTTGATTTCATGTTCCCCAGGTAACATTTTTGACTTACTCAGTACATTTATCAACTAATTTATACATTAATATTATGTGAATTTGTTTAGCATGTGTTTAGCTGGTTACGTTGATGATAAAATTGAGTTTCTGGCTTTACAAAGCAGTGACCTAGACCCTGAACCATCATGTTTCTGTGAAGGTTCTACTACCTTAAGAGCCTCTCTTTGAGTGACAGCTGCCTTCCCCTAGTTAACTGACTTTTCTCTGTTTGGTTTCAGTAGAAATTGATGGTTGCTGTCAAGTCAATTCTGACTCATGTTGACTCCACGTGTACAGAATAGAACTGCTTTCTAGGTTTTTCAGGACTGTGGTTTCAGAGTCAGATCATCTGGCCTGTTTTCAGATATGCCTGTGAATGAGTTTGAACTATCAACTTTTCAGCTTAACCGTTTGTACTATACAGGAATCCCTTTTAATATAAATAGCAGGCATTACATCAATATCAAAATTGCATAGCATTTTTGTTGTATTTCTTTGAAGATCTTTAAAAATGGTACAGTAGGAGAACAAATGCGTGAATTCTGAAGTTGAATGAACTCTGAAGTTCCTTTTTAAGTCCCATGAGTCAGTGATTTCAGGTTCCCTCCCCTCACTGTTTATGAAGGAAAGGAGATTTTATAGTATTATTTAGAAGAAAATCTAGAATTTGCAATTTTTTTTAGGAAAATTTACTACCTGGATTCAAAGTTTAATCTTACCTCATTTTCTTTTTTGCTGTTTTAGTGATTAATAAATTTCATGCTCATGTAAATGTCATTTTTCTTCAGGTAAGTATAATATCATGAATAATTAACTGAAAAAAAAAAATAAAAGAAGATGGAATTAAAGTTTCAATTTGTATCTTGAATATTGTAAACTAGCTAGAAATCTTTGTGGCTGATATGTTTTTTTCTTCTTCTATGTAATGAAGATAGGAAGAGGAGTCATGTCAGAAGAAACAGTCAGCGAATCACAATTTTCCTTGAAGACAGTAGCACTAAGAGTGTTTGATCTTCCTCTGTCTTGGTACTATTCTCTCTCCCAGGTAAAAAATGAGACAAATATGGAGTTGAATAAGTTTATTGCTCAAGTATAAATGCTACAGAGCATATTTTGTTTACAGTATTTAAATCTGAATTGGAGTTTTTATGTAGTTTAGTCAGAATGTTTGTTAAAGTTGTTACAAACTTACTTGATTTTTATTTCATTTTCTAAATGATCATATTCATAACTTAAAGGAGAATTGCATTACTTTTTTTAAAAGAATCTTTCTATCTTAAGCAAATTTGGAGTCTATTACAATTCTTTTTAGTGAATTGTATTATTCCAGTAGAACTTTTTTCACTATGGTAATCATTTTTAATATTTGCTTGTAATACAATTTCATCTCTATTGTAGTAAATTCAAAGATAACTTGTAGAAAGTAGCATTTAGTTCACTAAACATACCTAAATTTCATTAAGTCCCAGCTGAACATTTTCCATGTTTCAGTATTTTGATTCAATGGCAGTGGGTTGGGTTTTTGACACCTGCTTGCATGTCAAAGTTACTATTATCTTGGATTGATGAAATACGGTATAGTTTTCAATATCTGGGAAAGTATGTTGCATAGACAAGGTGTGCTAGAATAATAGTAATTACTTTCTGTGGAGTGCTATGAAATGTGTGTGTGTGTGTGTATACACACACATGAATATATACGTCCATAGATGTATGTATGTATAAGGACCTCTGGTAGCATAGTGGATAAGGCACTTGAGTGCTGATCAGAAGGTTGGCAGTTTAAACCCACCAGCCACTCTGCAGAAGGAAGACAGAGCAGTCTACTTCATAAAGATTTACAGCCTTGGAAACCCAATGGGGATCGCTATGAGTCAAAAATGACTCAATGGCAGTGAGTTTGTTTTCATTGTTTTTTATATGTATGTATATACTCACTACCATTGAGTTGATTCAACTCACAGCGACCCCTCCTTGGGTTTCCGAGGCAGTATCTCTACGGAAGTAGATTGCCCATTCTTTCTTCCAAGGAGTAGCTGGTGGGTTTGAACCTCCAGCCTCTGGTTAGCAGTCAAATGCCTTAGGCACTATACCACCAGAGCTCCGTTATACGTATATATATACACACACACACACATATGTACATGTATGTATATATGTACATATGTACACACACATATATGCACGTATATATGTACATATATACATGTACATGTATTTATATCTATATCTGTATTTAAGCATATACCTCAATCCTGGAATTTAGGTAGCATTTCCTTTTTATATGTCAGGAGGATTCAAGATCTTAAGTAACTTGTCTAAATTCCCATAGCTAGTATAGTCTGCTCGGAAGGAAGGTTGGGCAATCCTACTTTCGTAGTGATACTGCCTCGGAAACCCAAGGAGGGGTCGCTATGAGTCGGGGCCGACTCGATGGCACATAACAACAACAACAACAAGTATAGTCTGCAGTACGGGTTATACCTCAATATAAAGAAAACAAAATTCTCACAACTCGTCCAATAAACAGCTTCACAATGGATGGAGAGAAGATTGAAGTTGTCAAGGATTTCATATTACTTAGTTCTACTATCAACACCAACGAAAGCAGCAGTCAAGGCATCAGATGATGTATTGCATTGGGCAAATCTGCTGCAAAAGACCTCTTCCAAGTGCTGAAGAGCAAAGATGTCTCCTTGAAGACTAAGGTATGACTAACCTAAGCCATGGTGTTTTCAATTGCCTCTTATGCATGGGAGAACTGGACAATGAATAAGGAAGACTGAAGAAGAGTTGATGCTTTTGAGTTGTGGTGCTGGTGAAGAATGCTAGGAGTACCATGGGCTGGTAAAAGGACTAACAAATCTGTCCTGGAAGAAGAGCAGCCAGAATGCTCCTTGGAAGCGAGTAAGGCCAGACTTTGTTTCACCTACTTTGGTCATGTCAGAAAGAACCATTCACTGGAGAAGGATATCATGCTTGCAAGAGTGGAGGGTTGACAAAAAAGGGGAAGGCCCTCAAAGAGATAGATTGACACAGTGGCTGCAACAATGGGCTCAGCTATAGCAAGGATTATGAGGCTGGCACAGGACTGGACAGTGTTTTGTTCTCCGGCGCGTAGGGTCGCTGTGAGTTGTAGATGACTGGATGGCACCTAACAACAAGAAGTATAGGATTTGAACTCTGGTCCTTTTTTTTTCTTTCCTTTTCTTTTTCAGGATTACATGCTTTTTGAGGAAAATTTGAAATATATAGAAAAGAGTTGAAAATAAAAATCACCTATAACCCCTCTATAAAACTTACTTGTTGTGCAGTCATACCTAGGTATCTGTGAGAGGCTGGTTCTAGGATCCTTGCAGATAACAAAATCCACAGATGCTCAAGTCCCTTATATAAAATGGGGTAGTATTTGCATATAACCTATGCACATCCTCTAATATACTTTAAATCATCTGGTGGTGTAGTGCCTGAGGCATTTGGCTGCTAACCAGGAGGCTGGCGGTTCAAACCCACTAGCCACTCCTCAGAAGGAAGGTTGGGCAATCTACTTCCATAGTGATACCCCCTCGGAAGCCCAAGGAGGGGTCACTCTGAGTTGGATCCAACTCCACAGTAGTGAGTGTGGCTTGGTTTTGATTACTTACTATGCTTTATAACAGTGTAACCCACCCACTGAAGGGTGGTTAATTCCAATTCATGGCGACCCTGTAGGACAGCGTAGAACTGATCCATTGAGTTTCTGAGGCTGTAAATTCTTTCTAGAAGCAGACTACCAATCTTTCTTCCACAGAATGGCTGATGGATTTGAGCTGCCAACCTTTCAATTAGCAGCTGAGTGCTTAACTACTGTGCCACTAAAAAAAAAAGTAGTGCTCCTTTAATATAAATGATATGTAAATAGTACTTTAAGCTCCCTCTTAGCCTTTGAGGGATTGCTTTAATCACTAATTGCTCCCCCCCATGTTTTCTGCCTGTAGTTGGCTGAATCTGTGGGTGTGGCTATGGAGGACCAGCTGTACTTTCTTTAGAGCTTTTATTTCTGCATATATCTCTCTGCCCCTTGCCTCCTACCCCTACTATCTGCCCACATTTGAAATTGTAAAGTTGTATATTTTGAGCATTTTTCTATGCCATTAAAAATGTTTTATAAATATAGGTATACCGTAGTTTATTGAATATTCCTCTAATGTGTTTTTGTGTTGTTTTAACAGTTCAGTTTGAACTGTTGTAAATCTTGTTCCCATTTTGAGATTTTTATTAGGGTAGATTCCTAGAGATGAAAATACTGAGTCAAAGGGTATGGGAATTTATTTATTTTTATTCTGTCTGCCTGTCTGCCTATCTGTCTATCTATCAGTTAGTTAAACTATTTGGATGATACTGTAAAAGACTGTTGTTGTTGTTGTTGTTGTTATATGCTGTCGAGTCGGCCCTGACTCATAGCGACCCCTCCTTGGGTTTCCGAGGCAGTATCACTACGGAAGTAGGATTGCCCAACCTTCCTTCCAAGGAGTGGCTGGTGGGTTTGAACCGCCAGCCTTCTGGTTAGCAGTGAAGTGCCTTAGGCACTATGCTACCAGAGCTCCTTGTAAAAGACTAGCAACAGGATATATAGCAGCATCTACTATCAGTAATACATAGACTCACTGTAATAAAAAGAATTGGTCAGTGTTCAGTTATTTCAAGAGATAGCATATGATTAAGAACCAATGATAGTGAAGAAAGAAGTCCAAGGTGTTGTGAAGGTATTGGCGAAAAACAAGGCTCTAGGAACTGATGGAATACCAATTGAAATGTATCAACAAACCAATGGAGTGCTGGAAGTGCTCACTTGTCTATGCAAAGAAATTTGAAGACAGCTACCTGACCAGTTGCCTGGAAGAGACTATATTTGTGCCCATTCCAAAGAAAGCTGATCCGATAGAATGCAGAAATTATTGAATAATGCCGTTAATATCACATGCAAGTGAAATATTGCTGAAGATGATGGAAAAACATTTTAAGAAGTACATTGACAAAGAACTGGCAGAATTTCAAGCTGATTCAGAAGAGGGCGTGGAATGAGAGGTATTGTTGTTGATGTCAGATGGGTTTTGGCTGAAAGCAGAGAATACAAAACAGATGTTTACCTGTGTTTTATTGACTATGTAAAGACATCTGACAGTGTGGGCCATAACAAATTGTGGATAATGTTGGGAAGAATGGGAAACCGAGAACACTTAATTGTGCTCATGTAAAAACTGTACATAGACTGAGAGGCAGTTGTTTGGATGGAACAAGGGGATATTGTATGGTTTAAAATCAGGAAAGGTATGTGTTAGGGTTGTATCCTTTCTTCATACTTATTCAATCTGTATGCTGAGCAAATAATCCAAAAAGGTGGATTATATGAAGAAGAACATGGCATCAGGATTGGAGGAAGACTCATAACAACTGCAATATGTAGATAATACACCCTTACTAGTGAAGAAGACTTGAAGCACTTACTGATAAAGATCAAAGGCTACAGTCTTCAGTATGGATTACACCTGGATATAATGGAAGCAGAAATCCTCACAATTGGACCAATAAGCAACATCATGATAAATGGAGAAAAGATTGGAATTGTCAAGGATATCATGTCACGTGGATCCACAGTCAGCCCCCTATGGAAGTAACAGTCAAGAAATCATATGATTTGGATTGGGAAGATCTGCTGCAAAAGACATCTTTAAAGCATTAAAAAGCAAAGATGACACTTTGAAGACTGAGATGCACTTGACCCAAGTCATGGTAGTTTCATTTGCTTAATATGCTTGCAAAAGCTGCACGATGACTAAGGAAGACTGAAGGAGAATTGATGCATTTGAATTATAGTGTTGGCAAAGCATATTAAATATACCGTGGACTGCCAGAAGAATGAATAAATCTCTCTTGAAACAAGTACATCCAGAATGCTTTATAGAAGGGAGAATGGCAAGACTGCATCTTACATAATTTGGGCATGTTATCAGAAGAAGCTAGGTCCTGGAGAAGGACATCATGTTTGATAAAGCAGAGGGTGAG